CATCATCCCCTTCGTCATTGTCGTTGTTGTCGTTGTCGTTGTCATTGTCATAATCATCATCATCATCATCATAATCATCATCATCATCATCATCACCACCACCACGATCACCATCCCCATCGCAGTAATCATCATTGTAATCAATCACGACTCACGGCTAGTATCTGGAGAACATTTTTATGAACTCCACGAGATCTTGGATTCCCGACAACAGATTAACGAAAAGACTGCTTCCTAACAGATGGCAAAATGCAGCATGTTTACTCGTCATAATACCTTTGCTTTAGAGACATCACTTCTGCATAGGCAGGGTGAGTTTCAATGATATGGTCCAGCTGCGAAAAAAATATATTCAAGCAAAGCGATGTTACAGTAGATTTTTACAAGATTGAGCAATACACTTAACTCTACATTCATGTAGATGTAGGCAATACCAAAGAATAAGGCAAGGATAGCATCAATTACCATACTTGAGTGCTGAAAAGTAGCACTAGAGTACTTAAGTTCGCGAAGTTAGTACAACTCCACATGCACGGTTGCAAGTAATAGCCCTGTAAGCTATACAGTCTAGACTATTGAGACCACACGCGTTGGTAGCCTAGCTTTAGTGTACAGCATTGCTTTTACTCTTGCATGCCCGGTAGAAAACTTCACGCTAGAGCTAGAGTCAATCAGGACCCTTGTGTTGCCACGCTGTTATGTTATACGTTGTCCTAAACGTATGTGGTATTGTATAGTTTAGAACTTCTGGTATAATCCGTAGAATCAATTGAGACAAACACAGTTTAAGAAACACGTTTTATTCTTTCTCCCAGCCAACGAGAGCGACACCTCGCGTCAACATTCTTATGTATGGTTATTATAAAATTTAGTGCGCGGATATACAACACACGCGTACCCCGATGACAGCAAGGGTGCATGTATGTATTACCAGTTTTCCTGCAGCGCTCTGTCCAGCTTCGCTGAGCCAGTAGTTAGGCACCATGGCGGCGTAGAAGGGTCCCCACACGCCAGGAACAAACAGCGGTCGTTCGCTGATCTGCCGAGAAATCAAACACATTGCAAACCTCGTTGCATGCGCTCCTACACGAGCATGCATTCCCACGTATGTTGTTTGCGTCAGCTTCCTAAGAGCACAAACTTGCATTGTAGTTCCGACAAGCATAACTAGATGTAGAATTGACTTTCCAAACTGAGCGAGATAATCACGCCCCTCTCGGATATTGTTGTCAGGTCAGTCAAGCCAACGGAGTTTTTGCATTGTGCACAACTTTGCGGGGCATTAATACTACCATAATATCATAATTACTAAGCATTGCTTTTAGAATGTCCCACGGAAGCTCAGATTGGCTAGAGTTGCTTGACAGACATGCAAGGCGGACACGTTGATTGACTTGCCATCGCATACGAGTGGTTCCACACATCTTCTTCTTCTTCTCGGGTCACTACACTAAACTCGACCTAGTCACTGGTTCCACACATCGAGTTTCATCTAGGCGCACCCCCCACCACACGACACCTCCGCGGAGGTGCAGGTGGCGCCCCCACCACACGACACCTCCGCGGAGGTGCAGGTGGCGCCCCCACCACACGACACCTCCGCGGAGGTGCAGGTGGCGCCACCGTAATGAC